CAGAGGCTTCCTTAGCTCACCTGTATAGCCAGCCCACCAATCAGAGAGGCTTCCTTAGCTCACCTGTATAGCCAGCCCATAGTGGTCTACTCTGCTCCCCTGTATACCCTGGCTGGTTATTAGACAGCTCTTCTGTTCTTACCTGTACACAAATGAACAACCAAATAGAGAATCCTTACAAACATTTAAGCGGTGCAACCTGGAACACTGCAGTCAGATAAACCCTGTACTGGGTCTACTAACTAAATCCTACCCCTAAGGTTGCAACACGTTGGTAACTTTCCCCACATTTCTCAGGTTTTCCAGAAATCCTGGTTGAAAGATTCCTGGAATCAGATGAGAATAAGCAGGAAATCTGGAATTCTCCAACCAGGATTTCTGGAAAACCTGGGAATTTATGAAAGTAACCGGAATTTTGCAATCTTATGCTATAGACACAAGGAAAATCTCATGGTCCAACGGTCCAAAATTAACTTTATCCAAAATGTTCATGGAAATCTCTCCACAGTGGATCTGTGCAGCTCTACTTAACCTATCACTGCATTGGGCTAAATCAGGGTCACACAGAGTGTTTCTGCATAGTCTTAAACAAATGTACTTTTAAATAAAAGTCTACACCTCACACACATGGTTATGGGCTTTAGAAAAAGAAGACACCTGTACCATGTCAGATATAGAGTTGAAATGATCTTTATTAATTATTCCAACCATGAGGCCAAAGAGGGCGCTTTTGTTCACCTCCTCCCCCCTTACCCCCTCCCTTCCTCCCTCCTTACCCCCTCCCTTCCTCCCCTTCCTCCTCCTTACCCCCTCCCTTCCTCCCCCTTCCTCCTCCTTACCCCTCCCTTCCTCCCTCCTTACCCACTCCCTTCCTCCCCCTTCCTCCCTCCTTACCCCCCTCCCTCCCCTCCCCCTACCCCCTCCCTCCCCCCCCCTTCCTCCCCCTTACCCCCTTCCTTCCTCCCCCTTCCCCCTCACCCCCTCCCTTCCTCCCCCTTCCTCCTCCTTTCCCCCTCCCTTCCTCCCCCCTTCCTCCCCCCTTAAACCCCCTCCCCCTCCCCCCCCTCCCCTTTTCCCCCCCCCTTCCCTCCCTTCCTCCCCCCTTCCCCCCCTTCCCCCTTACCCCCTCCCTTCCTCCCCCTTCCTCCCCCCTTTCCCCCTCCCTTCCCCCCCCTCCCTTCCCCCCCTTTTTCCCCCCCCCCCCTTTCCCCCCCCTTCCTCCCTCCTTTCCCCCTCCCTTCCTCCCCTTCCTCCCTCCCCTACCCCCCCCCCTTCCCCCCCCCCCCCTTCCCCCCCCTTCCCCCCCTTCCCCCCCCCCTTTCCCCCCCTTCCCTCCCCCCCCCTCCCTCCCCCCCCTTCCTCCCCCCTTCACCCCTCCCTTCCCCCCCCCCCCCTCCCCTTCCCCCTCCCCCCTTTCCCCCCTTTCCTCCCCCCCCCCTTTCCCTCCTTCCCCCTCCCCTTCCCCCCCTTCCTTTCCCCCCCCCCCCCCTCCCCTTTCCCCCCCTTCCTCCCTCCTTCCCCCCTCCCTTCCCCCCCTCCTCCCCCCTCCCTTCCCCCCCCCCTTTCCCCCCCTTCCCCTCCTTTCCCCCCCCCCCTTTTCCCCCCCTTTTCCCCCCCCCCCTTCCCCCTCCCTTCCCCCCCCTTACCCCCCCCCTTCCTCCCCCCCTTCCTCCCTCCTTCCCCCCCCCCCCCCCTCCCTCCCCCCTTCCCCCCTTCCTCCCTTCCTCCCTCCTCCCCCCCCTTTCCCCCCCTCCCCCTTCCTCCTCCTTCCCCCCCCTCCCTTCCTCCCCTCCTCCTCCTTCCCCCCCCTTCCTCCCCTCCTTCCCCCGCCCTCCCTTCCTCCCCCTTTTCCCCCTCCTTCCCCCTCCCTTTCCTCCCCTTCCTCCCTCCTTCCCCCTCCTTCCTCCCCCTTCCCCCCCTTCCCCCCCCCCTTCCTCCCCTTCCTCCCTCCTTCCCCCCTCCCTTCCTCCCCCTTCCCTCCCTCCTTCCCACCCGCCAATCCCTTCCTCCCCCTTCCTCCCCCTTCCACCCCTTCCCTTCCTCCCCCTTCCTCCCTCCTTACCCCCTCCCTTCCTCCCCTTCTCCATTCCTTCCCCCTCCTTCCTCCCCTCTCCTCCCTCCCCCCCCCCTTCCCCTTCCCTCCCCCCTTTCCCGTTCCCCTCCCTTCCGCCCCCTTTCCTCCCCCTTTCCCTCCCTCCCCACCCCTTCCTTCCTTCCCCCCTTCCTCCCTCCTTACCCCCTCCCTTCCTCCCCCTTCCTCCCTCCTTCCCCCCCCCTTTCCCTTTCCCTCCCCCTTTCCCTTTCCCTCCACCCCCCTCCCTTCCTCCCCCTTCCTCCCTCCTTCCCCCTCCCCCTTCCCCCCCCGTCCTCCCCCTCCCCTTCCCCCTTCCCTTCCCCCTCTTCCCCCTCCTCCTCCCTCCTCGCCTCCCCCACCCCCCCCTTCCTCCCCCTTCCCTCCCTTCCTACCCCCCCCCCTTCCTCCTCCCCTTCCCCCCTACCCCCTTCCTTTCCTCCTCCCCCTTCCTCCCTCCTCCCCCCTCCCTCCTCCCCCTTCCCCCTCCTTACCCCCCTCCCTCCCCTCCTCCCCCTTCCTCCCCCTTCCCCCTCCCTTTTTCTCCCCTTCCTCCCCGTCCTCCCTCCCCCCCCCCCCTTCCTCCCCTCCTTACCCCCTCCCTCCTCCTTCCCCTCCGACCCTTCCTCCCCCTTCCTCCCCCTTCCCCAACCTCCTCCCCCCCTTCCTCCCCCTTACCCCCTCCCTTCCTTCCCCCTTCCTCCCTCCTACCCCCGGCCCTTCTCCCCTTCCTCCCTCTACCCCCTCCCTTCCTCTCCCTTCCTCCCTTCCTTCCCCCCGTCTCCCTTCCCCCTCCCTCCCCCCCTCCTCCCCTCCCCTTCCCTCCCTTCCTCCCCCTTCCCCCATTCCCCCCTTCCCCCCCTCTCCTTCCTCCCCCTCGCCTCCCCCCCTTCCTCCCCCTCTCCCTCCCCCCCTCCCCCTCTCCCTTCCTCCCTCCTTACCCCCCCCCTTCCCCCCCCGCTCCCTTCCCCCTCCCTTCCCCGCCTTCCTCCCCCTTCCTCCCTCCTTCCCCCCCTCCTCTCCCCTTCCCCCCCCTTCCCTCCTCCCCTCCCTTCTCCCTACCCCCCCCTTCCGCCCTCTTACATACATGTTATTCAATCATTGTATCCAAACTGCTCGTGCGCGTCAACAAGCGTCTGCATAGCCAGGCGCTAAAATAGAACTTGGTTATATTTGTGACGCTTGACGCACTGCAAGTCCCTTCTCTCCCATCTCCTCATTGGTTTTTAGGAGTATATACCCACGTGGGTGATTGAAAGATGAACTGAGGTCCACTCTCCAGTCCAGTTGGTGGGGGTAATATGTCTTAAAGTTGATTGCCAACCGCCCTTATAAAGTCCACAGAAGAAGAAGAAGGAGAGATAGAGTAATGATGAAAGACTACACCTGATGACACATATTTGAAATCACTAGAAGTTAATCACCTGTTGACTACCAACCCTTCACAAGCGTGTAGAGTAGACTGTCACAGCAGTGGTCACTAGAAATTAATCACCTGTTGACTGCCAACCCTTCACAAGAGTTGTAGTGTATTAGTTGGTGTGTCAGAGCAGTGCTGGAGCTAAGGCCTACAGGAGGGTAGTTCTCCAGGGGGAGGGGCCGGTTGTCCTGTCTATGGTTCTATCAGGTAACACATTGACTGACAGGGAGACATTCAGTCTGTAGCATCTGTTCTGCAGAAGCATCTGTAACAGTTCCCTGTCTGCAGAAACACTTTGCTCAATCAGAAGGGGTTTTGTTGACCGTTGACGAGCTACATCAGATGACCTGAAACGGCTCAGCAGTGGTGCTGGTTTTACTTTAAAATTTGGCGTTTTCTGGTCGTTACATGGAGCCGTCTCGTTTCTACAGTTTACTACTATCCCAACAAACAGGGACAACGGCTCGTCTTTAGACGGAAGTGTCGTTTAAACCTTTTAAACAGGGACCATTACTTCCGACTTATCAATATTTTTTATTTTATTTTATTTAAATGTTCGATTATTTGTGCACTTGTTGACATTTTACTGCATCGTTAGGAGCCAGTAACATCATCGTTTAGCTGCACCCACTATAACATCTGCTAAACTGTGTATGCAACCAATACATTTTCATTTGGCTTTCCAACGAACAGGGAGCACGGCTGGTCTTCAGAGGGAAGTGTTGTTTAAAACCTTTCCTCTAGTAGTATCGACCCAAGCGTAGGACTTCCACGTATCCTTGACCACCGTACAGAAACAGTCTATCTGTGAAGTCCAGTTCTAATAATAATATTTGTCCTGTTTCACACACGTATCGGTGTGCATTATACTGGTGCGTGAACTGGAGATGCGTGGAGACACCCTCGGAGAGTGGGGTCACAAACTAGGTGACATTTGAGGTAAAATCCCAGAAAAAATGAGATTTTTCAAAAAAAATTAAAGGTTGAACTTTTTCTCTATTAGTACCGTCAACACAGTCATCTAAATCGCATGTCTCCAAATCAACCCTGGCCACTGTACGGTAACAATATATCCACTTCATAAGTCTCATTCTGAGTTGAGTAAACCTGGAAGTAAACCCCATGGTGAGACTGGGTTGGACTCGGTGCCATTACTCTTAGTCAGACAGGCAGGGGGCAGCACTACGTCAATAAGTCATAAAAGAAGAATAACAGTCTTGAAGGCTGGGGTTATTTATATGAAGGGAGCCTGAGGGCAGGGGCTGCAGCATGCCAAGTTAAGGGTTAGGTAGGTGTCTGTGCCTGTGCCTGAGGGAGAGGGTGGCAGGGTGGGGGCACTGGGAGGTGGTGGGTGGTAGGGTGGGTGGGTGGATGGGGCAGGGTGGGGGCACAGGGGAGTGGAGGGTGGGTGGTAGGGTGGGTGGGGGGTGGGGTGGCAGGGTGGGGGCACAGGGGAGTGGAGGGTGGTGGGCAGGGTGGGGGCACTGGGGGGTGAGATAGACTTTCAGAGGAGTGTCGGCCCATTGGTCTGAGTTGGTCTTCAAGTCCATAAAGAGTTAGGTAGGATAGTGCTGAGCCATCACTGGACACCATTAAAACAACCGTCTGTCTATAGCTGCATTACAGCCACCCACAGCAGTCCTCCCTTCTGCCACTGCAGTACCACGTTCTGTACCACTACTGCCCTGTTGGCCGGATTAACTCATAGGTGAGCCCTCTTCGGTCTCTGTTTGTGGTCCTCTTGTTTGTCTGAGCCTCCTGTTCTGTTGGCATCTGTCGTCTGGTCTTCGTCTGTCTGGTCCTTTGTTCTGTCTGGTCCTCTGTTCTGTTGTCCTCTCTGTCTGTCTGGTCCTCTGTTCTGCTGATCCTCTCGTTCTGTCTGATCCTCTCTGTTTGTCTGATCCTCTCTGTTCTGTCTGGTCCTCTCTGGTCTGTTGATCCTCTCGTTCTGTCTGGTCCCTCTGTTCTGTCTGGTCCTCTCTGTTCTGTCTGATCCTTCTGTTCTGTCTGGTCCTCTCTGTTCTGTCTGATCCTCTCTGTTCTGTCTGATCCTCTCTGTTCTGTCTGGTCCTCTCGTTCTGTCTGGTCCTCTCTGTTCTGTTGGTCCTCTCTGTTCTGTCTGTCCTCTTGTTCTGTCTGGTCCTCTCTGTTCTGTCTGGTCCTCTCTGTTCTGTCTGGTCCTCTCTGTTCTGTCTGGTCCTCTGTTCTGTCTGATCCTCTCTGTTCTGTCTGATCCTCTCTGTTTGTCTGGTCCTCTTGTTGTCTGCTGGTCCTCTCTGTTCTGTCTGATCCTCTGTTCTGTCTGGTCCTCTCTGTTCTGTCTGGTCCTCTCTGTTCTGTCTGGTCCTCTCTGTTCTGTCTGGTCCCCTCTGTTCTGTCTGATCCTCTCTGTTCTGTCTGATCCTCTCTGTTTTGTCTGGTCCTCTCTGTTCTGTCTGGTCCTCTCTGTTCTGTCTGATCCTCTCTGTTCTGTCTGGTCCTCTCTGTTCTGTCTGGTCCTCTCTGGTCTGTCTGGTCCTCTCTGTTTTGTCTGAGCCTCTCTGTTCTGTCTGGTCCTCTCTGGGTCTGTCTGGTCCCCTCTGTTCTGTCTGATCCTCTCTGTTCTGTCTGATCCTCTCTGTTTTGTCTGATCCTCTCTGTTCTGTCTGGTCCTCTCTGTTCTGTCTGATCCTCTCTGTTCTGTCTGGTCCTCTCTGTTCTGTCTGGTCCTCTCTGTTTTGTCTGAGCCTCTCTGTTCTGTCTGGTCCTCTCTGTTTTGTCTGGTCCTCTCTGTTCTGTCTGATCCTCTCTGGTCTGTCTGATCCTCTCTGTTCTGTCTGGTCCTCTCTGTTTTGTCTGATCCTCTCTGGTCTGTCTGGTCCTCTCTGTTCTGCCTGATCCTCTCTGGTCTGCCTGATCCTCTCTGTTCTGTCTGGTCCTCTCTGTTCTGTCTGGTCCTCTCTGTTCTGTCTGGGCCTCTCTGTTCTGTCTGGTCCTCTCTGTTCTGTCTGATCCTCTCTGTTCTGTCTGATCCTCTCTGTTCTGTCTGGTCCTCTCTGTTCTGTCTGGGCCTCTCTGTTCTGTCTGGTCCCCTCTGTTCTGTCTGATCCTCTCTGTTCTGTCTGGTCCTCTCTGTTCTGTCTGGTCCTCTCTGTTCTGTCTGATCCTCTCTGTTCTGTCTGGTCCTCTCTGTTCTGTCTGATCCTCTCTGTTCTGTCTGAGCCTCTCTGTTCTGTCTGGTCCTCTCTGTTCTGTCTGGTCCTCTCTGTTCTGTCTGGGCCTCTCTGTTCTGTCTGGTCCTCTCTGTTCTGTCTGATCCTCTCTGTTCTGTCTGATCCTCTCTGTTCTGTCTGGTCCTCTCTGTTCTGTCTGATCCTCTCTGTTCTGTCTGGTCCTCTCTGTTTTGTTCTGTCTGGTCTTCTCTGTTCTGTCTGATCCTCTCTGTTCTGTCTGGTCCTCTCTGTTCTGTCTGATCCTCTCTGTTCTGTCTGGTCCTCTCTGTTCTGTCTGGTCCTCTCTGTTCTGTCTGATCCTCTCTGTTCTGTCTGGTCCTCTCTGTTCTGTCTGGTCCTCTCTGTTCTGTCTGGTCCTCTCTGGTCTGTCTGATCTTCTCTGTTCTGTCTGGTCCTCTCTGGTCTGTCTGGTCCTCTCTGTTCTGTCTGGTCCTCTCTGTTCTGTCTGGTCCTCTCTGTTCTGTCTGGTCTTCTCTGTTCTGTCTGGTCCTCTCTGTTCTGTCTGGTCCCCTCTGTTCTGTCTGGTCCTCTCTGGTCTGTCTGATCCTCTCTGTTTTGTCTGGTCCTCTCTGTTCTGTCTGGTCCTCTCTGGTCTGTCTGATCCTCTCTGTTCTGTCTGGTCCTCTCTGTTCTGTCTGGTCCTCTCTGTTCTGTCTGGTCCCCTCTGTTCTGTCTGGTCCTCTCTGTTCTGTCTGGTCCTCTCTGTTCTGTCTGGTCCTCTCTGTTCTGTCTGATCCTCTCTGTTCTGTCTGGTCCTCTCTGTTCTGTCTGGTCCTCTCTGTTCTGTCTGGTCCTCTCTGTTCTGTCTGGTCCTCTCTGTTCTGTCTGGTCCTCTCTGTTCTGTCTGAGCCTCTCTGTTCTGTCTGAGCCTCTCTGTTCTGTCTGGGCCTCTCTGTTCTGTCTGGTCCTCTCTGTTCTGTCTGATACTCTCTGTTCTGTCTGGTCCTCTCTGTTCTGTCTGGTCCTCTCTGTTCTGTCTGGTCCTCTCTGTTCTGTCTGATCCTCTCTGTTCTGTCTGGTCCTCTCTGGTCTGTCTGGTCCTCTCTGTTCTGTCTGGTCCTCTCTGGTCTGTCTGGTCCTCTCTGTTCTGTCTGATCCTCTCTGTTCTGTCTGGTCCTCTCTGTTCTGTCTGGTCCTCTCTGTTCTGTCTGGTCCTCTCTGTTCTGTCTGGTCCTCTCTGGTCTGTCTGATCTTCTCTGTTCTGTCTGGTCCTCTCTGTTCTGTCTGGTCCTCTCTGTTCTGTCTGGTCCTCTCTGTTCTGTCTGGTCCTCTCTGTTCTGTCTGGTCCTCTCTGGTCTGTCTGATCTTCTCTGTTCTGTCTGGTCCTCTCTGTTCTGTCTGATCCTCTCTGTTCTGTCTGGTCCTCTCTGGTCTGTCTGATCTTCTCTGTTCTGTCTGGTCCTCTCTGTTCTGTCTGGTCCTCTCTGTTCTGTCTGGTCCTCTCTGTATTGTCTGATCCTCTCTGGTCTGCCTGATCCTGTCTGTGTGTGTGTGTGTGTGTGTGTGTGTGTGTGTGTGTGTGTGTGTGTGTGTGTGTGTGTGTGTGTGTGTGAGATATAGTTGTCTGTCACCTGTCATGTCCCCTGTCTTTGTTCAACTATGGTACACTGAAAGTGTGTATCATAAGTGTGTATCATTAATGAACTCATAGGTGAGCCCCTCTGTGTGTGTGTGTGTGTATGTATGTATATATAAGATAAGGTTGTGTCCCTGTCTTAGTTGAGCTATGGCACACTGGAAGTGGGTACAGTAGCATTGCTCTGGTCTGAACACGTTTTCTGGGTTTGGTGGTGTTGGTCATGACGAGGCGATAACATGAGGAATGACTGAAGGAGTCCTGTGTTTCTGTGAGTTACGGCTGTTAGAGCCACTCTCAGTCAAACCAACGCGTTACGGCTAATTCCTTCATCAAGGTATTTCCCCACTCTGCAGCCTCATAATGTATCCGATTGGTCAACTGTGTGTTGGGAATTGTCATATTCACGTGTGAAGTGTATGAATCCAAGATGAGATCAGACAGCGATGTAATACCGGTTTAATGCAACGCGTTCATTCATCGTCTGAAAGGGTTTGGGTCTAAAGTTGTGTGAGTTCAGAATGTCTTTATGCGTCTTTAGTGTAAAGTGGAGCAGGATGTGGACCCATGCATTATTACTGGTTCTTGGCTTTTCAAAGGCACGCCATCTTTTATGATTTGTAATGCCCATAATGGATGGGAACCTCAAAGACATTTAAATATCCTCTTAATGTTAAACATGATATCAGAGATGTCATAGCGAACCAATTTCGTGAATGTCAAAAGTCTATTAGGAGAAAGCATTTCAGAGTGAGAACATTTTCTGATCCAAAATGACAAATCTCTTTATTAATGACAGATGATACAGGTGCCCTGTCCCTAAATCAGACTAGATCCATATTAATGACAGATGATACATGCAGCTTATCCCTAAATCAGACTAGATCCATATTAATGACAGATGATACATGCAGCTTATCCCTAAATCAGACTAGATCCATATTAATGACAGATGATACATGCAGCTTATCCCTGAATCAGACTACATCCATATTAATGACAGATGATACAGGCACCCTTTCCCTAAATCAGACTAGATTCATAGGATAGTATTCCATTAGGTTGGTTTATCTCACTGAGGTGACAGCACATTTCCTGCAGACATGATTCATTTACAATCTGAGGATGTTACCCTTCCACCTGCCCCTGCCCCCGTCCACCAACTGGGGCCAAAGACCTCATCAACAATTTAGCACTGACACTCAAGCCTATTACGTTACCCCCCCCCCCCCCCCCCCCCCCCCCCAAGGGTGTGTTTGAATATGGCCCTGTAAGACATACTGTCTATGATGATATGTTTGATTAGAAAGTAGCTTGTGGTTTGCTAGCATGTGTAGGCTATCTGTGGTTCTGGCTTCATATCGCTGGTGTTTCCCCTAGAAGTCTTTAATTTATTCATATCTATTGTTTAATTATCTATTTTAATGACATGCATTTTCTATTTTACTCTTATGATCACAAAACAGTGACAACGTGCCAGCCTGTCGGTCTGTAGAGTAATACTCAGTAATACTCAATAATACTCAGTAATACTCAGTAATACTCAGTAATACTCAGTAATACTCGGTAATACTTGGTAATACTCGGTAATACCCAATAATACCCAATAATACTCAGTAATAATCAATAATCACCAGTAATACTCAATAATACTCAGTAATACTCAGTAATACTAAGTAATACTCAGTAATACTAAGTAATACTCGGTAATACCCAATAATACTCAGTAATAATCAATAATCACCAGTAATACTCAGTAATACTCAGCAATACTCAATCATACTCAATAATAATCAGTAATACTCAGCAATATTCAATAATAATCAGTAATACTGCAAGTATTACAGCGAATAGGAATATTAATTTCCTCTTTGAAGTTGAAGACATTTGGGAAACATCTTGGGCTCTTTAGAACGTGTCCGGACTCGAAGGTTATTTGTTTCTCTCTGTAACAGCCAAGTGGTGGTGAGAACCGTTGATACCTCACACGGAGTCACACAGATCTTAATGGCAATCAGGAGACTGATAGCTAAACACAGCCTCTAGTTTCATCCCCTATATCTCTTTCAGTATTTTAATGTATTTTCCACTGTATATCAGTTGACAGAAAAAAATGATAGAAAGCATAAATGTTCAATCTGAATGGAAAATACTTTATTTAGTGACGTAACACATTGTATACTTTATGTAGAACCTTCTACTTTATGTTATACCTGTTGATGTTGTTGATGATGATGAAGACTTTATAACCTAGAGGTCCCTGGGGGAGGCATAGGCTTATTGTATGTGTATGATACCAAGACAGGCATGCTAACCTTAGTAGCCTACGAATAGAAAGTGTTCCTAGTATGCTCCCTGACCAAGGGAAGGATGCTCCCTGACCAAGGGAAGAATTCTCCATGACCAAGGGAAGAATGCTCCCTGACCAAGGGAAGAATTCTCCCTGACCAAGGGAAGAATTCTCCCTGACCAAGGGAAGAATGCTCCCTGACCAAGGGAAGAATTCTCCATGACAAAGGGAAGAATTCTCCATGACCAAGGGAAGAATTCTCCATGACCAAGGGAAGAATTCTCCATGACCAAGGGAAGAATGCTCCCTGACCAAGGGAAGAATTCTCCCTGACAAGGGAAGAATTCTCCCTGACCAAGGGAAGGATGCTCCCTAACCAAGGGAAGTATTCTCCCTGACCAAGGGAAGTATTCTCCCTGACCAAGGGAAGAATTCTCCCTGACCAAGGGAATGATTCTCCCTGACCAAGGAAAGGATTCTCCATGACCAAGGGAAGAATTCTCCCTTACCAAGGGAAGAATTCTCCATGACCAAGGGAAGAATGCTTCCTGACCAAGGGAAGAATTCTCCCTGACCAAGGGAAGAATTCTCCCTGACCAAGGGAAGGATGCTCCCTAACCAAGGGAAGAATGCTCCCTGACCAAGGGAAGTATTCTCCCTGACCAAGGGAAGTATTCTCCCTGACCAAGGGAAGGATGCTCCCTGACCAAGGGAAGAATTCTCCCTGACCAAGGGAAGAATGCTCCCTTACCAAGGGAAGAATTCTCCCTGACCAAGGGAATGATTCTCCCTGACCAAGGGAAGGATGCTCCCTGACCAAGGGAAGGATGGCTACATGCTGCATTGCCTCTGATCATCATGTTGGGCTCAGTCGAGCCATGTTACTGCATGGTGTAAACAGACTTTGAACCATGTTCTCATGTTGTGGAGACTATCTTTAGTCATTTGTAAAAGCCGTTTCGCTTGTTGGATTGATTGGTCACCTAGAACTAAACTAATGTTGTCTAGTGACCCAGTAGACGCACCGCAAACTGTCATGCCATGTCTTTAATAGTTGGCTGTTGAGAGATTTTATGGAGGCTGTTTTTAGTACTTGCTCTTATGGTGTAATTGAGACCTGAAACCTGACAGAAGACTCTTCTAGAAGGCTCCAGGGTCTGCATCCCAAATGGCAGCCTATTCACTATATAGTGCATGGGGCTCTGGTCAACAGTAGTGCACTATATAGTGAATTTGGGACACAGCTAGGCCGATTCTTGGATGTGTTGACTTTTCACAAACTTCTCACCAGGTCGCAGTATGCACACAAAACTGTGTGGACTGGTGTAATGCTTTAAACATACCACCATGGGGCGTGAGGGGATTGGACAACAGCCATAATGACCGCCTTTACACAGGCAGCCCAATTCTGAGCTTTTGCCTAATTATTGGCGAAAGAGTTGATCTGATTGGTTAAAAGAGTTGATCTGATTGGTCAAAAGATAAATGAGTGGAAAAAGATCCGAATTGGGCTGCCTGTGTAAACGCAGCCATGGTAATCCTATCCACCACTCTGGCATTTGGAGGAGAAAGATGGATTAGGATCATTTTGATGATTTTGGTTGTGAAGTGAAGGAACAAGGAACATGATCGGGGATCTTTCTTGGAACTGTGGTATGTGTGTCATGCCTGCCATGCAACTTTGTGTCATTTTTCATTGGATGTAATTCATCGTTTAAAAACCACCAGAATATCATTTAACTATAGTGCTTTTACCTCTTCCTCAGGCGGCGAAAAGACCACACAGCCATCATGTCTGAGTGAGTAAAAGTGGATTTCAACATTATGGAAAAGTCTACAGAATATTTGGCATTTATCCAGAATTGTCTTTCTTTTACAAAACTTTTTTTTTTTTATGGTCATACCTGTTCATGAACAACAAGATAATGACATTGATTGTACTCACGTTTTCTGACAGGAAAAAGATGTCATCGAGCCGCAAGCATCATCTGAAGGTAACCAACGGCAACGTTCTTGACCTCTTCATGACCTCTCTAAGATTCTATCCGTTCAGTGACTCAACAGACCTTATAGAAACAGCTTAGATATCTCTTACCTCTTAAGCATCATGACAAAAATGCCACTTGTGATTTGTACGATTTACACAAACAATCCAACCGCTTTCTGATAACAAGTGTTATATTACAAATCAAAAATATAAAAGACAATCACTGTTTTGAGGCCTATCCCTTAGCAAGACATGACTATATTAAAAACAAGAAACTACATTTTAAGTGCGAATAGGTATTGGTCTGAAGGCGAAAAAAAAGACAGGAATTTCACATGAACACCACAATGCCTATTCCACCCATGCTCTACCAAGGGTTTCCAGCACACAGCTTTGACCTACTACAGTAGCTGTGTTGGTATTGTACTTCAAACTATGTGTAGGCAGGTTGCTTAGGGTTCAAACCTTCTACCATAACTAGATCTACACCTTTTAAACCCAACACTCCAATTTAAATATAAATGTAATGTAAATGTACAGTTGAAGTCGGAAGTTTACATACACCTTAGCCAAATACATTTTAAACTCAGTTTTTCACAATTCCTGAAATGTAATCCTAGTAAAGATTCCCTGTCTTAGGTCAGTTAGTGTCACGACTTCCGCCGAAGTTGGTTTCCTCTCCTTGTGCGGGCGGCTATCGGCGGTCGTCGTCACCGGCTTTCTAGCTGCCACCGATCTATGTTTCTGTTTTCCATTTGTTTTGTCTTGTTTGTACACACCTGGTTCCCATCAAGTTATGATTATTTCCCTATTTAACCCTCTGGTTTCCTCATGGTTTTGTGCGTGATTGTTCTTTGTTTTGGTGTTTATGACTGCTGTGAGCTGGTTTATTTCCCTGCATGGAAATTAGATTGTTTCTTTTAGAGTAAAGTTTGTCTGTTACTCAGTTCTGTGTCCTGCGCCTGACTCCGTCCTATCGCTGCACACTGACACCTGACAGTTAGGATCACCACTTTATTTGAAGAATGTGAAATGTCAGAATAATAGTAGAGAGAATGATTTATTTCAGCTTTTATTTCTTTCATCACATTCCCAGTGAATCAGAAGTTTACATACACTCAATTAGTATTTGGTAGCATTGCCTTTAAATTGTTTAACTTGGGTCAAATGTTTCGGGTAGCCTTCCAAAAGCTTCCCACAATAAGATGGGTGAATTTTGGCCCATTCCTCCTGACAGAGCTGGTGTAACTAAGTCAGGTTTGTAGGCCTCCTTGCTCGCATGCGCTTTTTCAGTTCTGCCCACACATTTTCTATAGGATTGAGGTCAGGGCTTTGTGATGGCCACTCCAATACCTTGACTTTGTTGTCCTTAAGGCATTTTGCCACAACTTTGGAAGTATGCTTGGGGTCATTGTCCATTTGGAAGACCCATTTGCGACCAAGCTTTAACTTCCTGACTGATGTCTTGAGATGTTGCTTCAATATATCCACATAATTTTCCTTCCTCATGATGCCATCTATTTTGTGAAGTGCACCAGTCCCTCCTGCAGCAAAGCACCCCCACAGCATGATGCTGCCACCCCCGTGCTTCAAAGTTGGGATGGTGTTCTTTGGCTTGCAAGCCTTCCCCTTTTTCCTCCAAACATAACGATGGTCATTATGGCCAAACAGTTCTATTTTTGATTCATCAGACCAGAGGACATTTCTCCAAAAAGTACGATCTTTGTCCCCATGTGCAGATGCAAACCGTAGTCTGGCTTTTTTATGGCGGTTTTGGAGCAGTGGCTTCTTCCTTGCTGAGCGGCCTTTCAGGTTATGTCGATATAGGACTTGTTTTACTGTGGATATAGATACTTTTGAGCTTTTACAAGGTCCTTTGCTGTTGTTCTGGGATTGATTTGCACTTTTTGCACCAAAGTACGTTCATCTCTAGGAGACAGAACACGTCTCCTTCCTGAGCGGTATGACGGCTGCGTGGTCCCATGGTGTTTATACTTGCGTACTATTGTTTGTACAGATTAATGTGGTACCTTCAGGCATTTGGAAATTGCTCCCAAGGATGAACCAGACTTGTGGAGGTCTACAATTTATTTTCTGAGGTCTTGGCTGATTTCTTATGATTTTCCCATGATGTCAAGCAAAGAGGCACTGAGTTTGAAGGTAGGCCTTGAAATACATTCACAGGTACACCTCCAATTGACTCAAATGATGTCAATTAGCCTATCAGAAGCTTCTATAGCCATGATATAATTTTCTGGAATTTTCCAAGCTGTTTAAAGGCACAGTCAATGTAGTGTAGGTAAACTTCTGACCCACTGGAATTGTGATACAGTGAATTATAAGTGAAATAATCTGTCTGTAAACAATTGTTGGAAAAATTACTTGTGTCATGCACAAAATAGATGTCCTAACCGACTTGCCAAAACAATAGTTTGTTAACAATACATTTTTAAGGGGTTGAAAAACAAGTTTCAATGACTCCAACCTAAGTGTATGTAAACTTCCGACTTCAACTGTACACATGTGAAGTGCTTTAGATAAAGCATCTGCCAAGTACATTAATTAAATCGGTTGCTGTGTTGTTTCTGTCCCCCAGAGCATAATGCTCCAGATCGCCCAGGAACTGATAGCGGCAGAGGAAGCCCAGTCGTTAGAGGACAGGAAGCAGTACATGAGTGAAAATGTCGCTCCCCTGCAGCTCCCAGGATCCATCGCAGAACTCCAGGTATCACATAAGCTGCTTTGAGACAGGCAGACAAATTCTGATATTTGTTTTCACTAATTGGTCTTTTGACCAATCAGCTCTGACCTGATGTGATTGGTCAAAAGACCAATTAGTAGAAACAATATCAGAATTGGGCTGCCCTCTATAATCAATCAAATTAAATACATCAAAATCCAGTTGTAGTTTTTATCATTTCCTTTCACAATATAACAATACAATGACTACATTTTACATTATTGATAGCCCTTTTAACAACAGTGTTTGTAATGTAACACATTGGCTCTCTGTCTCGTGTTATGAGTCGCTGTGATTGTCTCTGAACAGGACCTGTGCAAGAAGTTGCACCAGAAGATTGATGTGATGGATGAGGAGAGATACGACCTGGGCAGCAAAGTTGGCAAAAGTGACAAAGAGGTGGGGTTATATCTGATATACTGTAGTGATAAAGAGGTGGGGTTATATCTGATATACTGTAGTGATGAAGAGGTGGGGTTATATCTGATATACTGTAGTGATGAAGAGGTGGGGTTATATCTGATATACTGTAGTTATAAAGAGGTGGGGTTATATCTGATATACTGTAGTGATAAAGAGGTGGGGTTATATCTGATATACTGTAGTGATGAAGAGGTGGGGTTATATCTGATATACTGTAGTGATAAAGAGGTGGGGTTATATCTGATATAATGTAGTGATGAAGAGGTGGGGTTATATCTGATATACTGTAGTTATAAAGAGGTGGGGTTATATCTGATATACTGTAGTGATAAAGAGGTGGGGTTATATCTGATATACTGTAGTGATGAAGAGGTGGGGTTATATCTGATATACTGTAGTGATAAAGAGGTGGGGTTATATCTGATATACTGTAGTGATGAAGAGGTGGGGTTATATCTGATATACTGTAGTTATAAAGAGGTGGGGTTATATCTGATATACTGTAGTGATGAAGAGGTGGGGTTATATCTGATATACTGTAGTGATGAAGAGGTGGGGTTATATCTGATATACTGTAGTGATGAGGAAAGAGGTGGGTTTATATGATGATTACTGCGTTGATGAAGAGGTGGGGTTATATTGAGATACTGTAGTGTGACAGAGGTGGGTTATACTGATCTACTGTTAGTGATAAAGAGGTGGGGTTATATCTGATATTACTGTATGATGAAGAGGTGGGGTTTATCTGATATACGTAGTGATGAAGAGGTGGGGTTATATCTGATATACTGTAGTGATAAAGAGGGGGGGTTATATCTGCTATAACTGTAGGATGAAGAGGGTGGGGTTATATATGATTGAGATTACTGTAGTGATAAAGAGGTGGGGTTATATCTGATTATACTGTAGTGATGAAGATGAGAGGTGGGGTTATATCTGATATACTGTTAGTTATAAGAGGTGGGGTTAGATCTGATATACTATATGCTGAAGATGGTGGGTTATATCTGATATACTGTTAGTGTGAAAGAGGTGGGGTTATATCTGATATACTGTAGTGATGAAGAGTGGGGTTATATCTGTATATACTGTAGTGATAAGAGGTGGGGTTTATATCTGATATATGTAGTGATGAAGAGGTGGGGTTATAATCTGATATACTGTAGTGATGAAGAGGTGGGGTTATATCTTATATACTGTAGTGATGAAGAGGTGGGGGTTATATCTGATATACTGTAGTGATGAGAGGTGTGGGTTATATCTGATATACTGTAGTGATAAAGAGGTGGGGGGGTTATATCTGTAGTGATGAAGGAGGTGGTTAATTGAGATACTGTAGTGATGAAGAGGTGGGGTTATATCTGATTACTGTAGTGATGAAAGAGGTGGGGTTATAGCTGATATACTGTAGTGATGAAGAGGTGGGTTATATGAATCTGTAGTGATAGAAGGTGGGGTTATATCTGATTAGTAGTGAAAAGAAGGGGGGTTATAGCTGATATAAACTGTAGTGTATGAAGAGGTGGGTTATATCTGATATACTGTAGTGATGAAAGAGGTGGGGGTTATATCTGATATACTGTAGTGATAAAGAGGTGGGGTTATAATCTGATATACTGTAGTGTAAGAGGTGGGGTTATATCGATATCTGAGTTATAAAGAGGGGGGGTTTTTTCTGATATATGTAGTGATGAAAGGGGGGGGTTATATTGATATACGTATTTGGAAGGGTTTTTGGGGGATATTGGATTCTGTAGTGATTAAGAGTGGGGGGGGGGAAATTATATATGTAGTGAAAAAAAGAGGGGGGTTTTTATTTGATTTGTGGGAGAGGTGGGGGGGGGGGGGGGGGGGGGGGGGGGGGGGGGGGGGGGGGGGGGGGGGGGGGGGGGGGGGGGGGGGGGGGGGGTTTTTTTGGGTTAAAGTTTGGGGTTTCCTGGGCTTCTTTTTTTTTTTTTTTTTTCTTCTTTAACTTTATTTTTTTTTTTTTTTTTTTTTCTTGTTGTTTTTTTTCCCTTTTTTTTTTTGGGTTTGGTTTTTTTTTTTCTTTTCCCCATTTTTTCCCCCGTTTTTCCCCCCCCCCCCCCCTTTTTCCCCCCTTGCAAAGGTTTTTGTTTTCTTCTTTTTTTCTCCCCCTTCCTCTCTCTTCCCCCTGCCCCCCTTTCTTCCCCCCTCCTCCCCCTTCTTCTCTCTTCTCCTTCCTCTCCTTCTCCCTCTTCTTTCTCCTTCTTCTTTTCTTCTCTCTCTCTTCCCCTTTCCCTTTTTTTTTAAAAAAATTTTGGGGGACCTAAAGGGGAAAATTTAAAAGCCCCTAAAAAGAAAGAGAGCCCCGAGATCCTAGGCTGGGGGGGCCCCAAAACCGGGTCCAACAGGGAAAACCTAAAACAAAAAAAAAAAGGGGGTCAAGGGGGGGGGGGGGGTTGCTTCCAATTAAAAAATTATTTAGATTTGTTTTGAAGTTCGAGGATTCCACTTCTGACACCAAATGTTATTATACAAATATTGTGAGCGCAATCACTGCCACAGTCGGCTGAGACCTTAGCAAGTGGTGAAACTACTGTGATTGTGTGTATATAGTTAGGCCATTTCAACTCAGCACTCCAATGTGGATGATTTTTATTTGGGATGAATTGTTGTGTTACTCAAGTGATATGCACATATAGAAACAAACCTACACGGATCAAACATCAAAAATCTAGACTAATATATTTTGATCTACTTCTCTTCCCACCCAGGACAAAGAGTCTGTGGGTGACTGGCGTAAGAACATTGAAGACAAATCAGACAGAAAGAAGATGTTTGAGACCGTTTGAACAACCTTCTGTCTTTTGGTTACTAAGTTATCCAGACAGGACTCGTCTCTTCAGTTGTTTGTTTTCGTCTCTAGCTAAATTAATTGTTATGATATCTAAGAGGTAGTTCCATCTCTCTGGGAATGTTGTGACAGATGTTAATGTGTGTAATCAAAACAACCTGTACTACTGTTTAATACTTTATTCCTTTGTTCCAATTCAATTTCTCAAAATAAATTATTTGCTGGAATCTTTTTTGATTTATAGCCCCTTTTTCGTATGCCTTTCTGCTAGTACTGCGACTAGAGGTAATTGAATTTCACGCAGCTGTTATACCATCACTTTACCTGCGCCTGCTTTCGTAATCGAAGCAATGAGGTGGACATAATCCTGAACCACTTTATGGAATTCAGACTTTGTGGATTCTTTAATTGAACTGATGATGCCAGCATGGAATAGTTTTTCAAGTTTTAGAGTTCAGGTGGTAATGTTTTAGGAACAGAAATGAGGCTATGTCACGAGATGTTTCTACCACTCAACATAATATGGTGTTTGAGAACGCAGTGAACCGTAGATCAGGTCATATTGGTCTGCGCCTAAGGAGTTCTTAGTCAAAACAGCGAAAGATAGTTGTGGCATTTTTCAATTCAATTATCAATTCAATTCAATTATCTTGGCCAGGTCGCAGTTGCAAATGAGAACTTGTTCTCAACTGGCTTACCTGGTTATATAAAGGTGAAAAAAAATAACATATATATATATATATTAGAACAGAAAAAAATCAAACCAAAAACCTAAAGTTACACCAAGACGATCAGATCCTACTTTCTCATACAAAATACTTGATGTAAAATGTATTCTTCAACTAAAAAAAAAATAGTTATTTTTCTCGCACTTTCGGTAAGTTAATATTACCTATATAGTACATTTCCAATGACTACATACTGTCATGACTACTTTGATATCCACTCAGTACTTTCTCTACCTCTTTACAGGTTAGCTTAAGGTTGAATATGTTGAAGAGGACTAATACCCGAGGAGCAAGTTGTGAAAACAACGTAGTATGACTGGGCTGGACTCTGGATCTGAGAGCCAACTGGAGCAGACAGAGGGAGGAGAAGAGGCTGAGAAGAAGGAAGGAGAGTAGAGGTGGGTGGATGTGGAGTGTGGTGACATCACATTTGTTGTGACTAAAAATGACGGTGTAACTTCCTACTACCCATAGTTAATATCAGCATACGCAAACCTCCTGATTTAGGTCAGTTATGTCAGCCTATATATGTCAGTTATGTAAGCCACACATAGCTAGGGAAGGATCTTTGTACTACAGCATTGTATTGATGTTTGAAGGGGATATGACAACTGTTTTATTTACTGAAAATCTTAATCTCAATTTATCTAATCTAAATGTAATGTCATCTTTCTTCTGAATTTGACTGAAGCAAATGTTTGTTTCAGTAAGAAAACATGGAATGGCTTGAGAAATGATGGTGGTTGGATACTGGAGTTAGGAGGCTGACACGGTGGTTGGATACTTGGATACTGGAGTTAAGAGGCTGACATGGTGGTTGGATACTGGAGTTAGGAGGCTGAGATGGAGGTTGGACCCCTGAGTTAGGAAGCTGAGACTGTGGTTGGATACTGGAGTTAGGAGGCTGACATGGTGGTTGGATACTGGAGTTAGGAGGCTGACATGGTGGTTGGATACTGGAGTTGGGAGGCTGACACAGTGGTTGGATACTGGAGTTAGGAGTCTGACATGGTAGTTGGATACTGGAGTTAGGAGGCTGACACAGTGGTTGGATACTGGAGTTAGGAGGCTGACACGGTGGTTGGATACTTGGATACTGGAGTTAGGAGGCTGACATGGTGGTTGGATACTGGAGTTAAGAGGCTGACATGGTGGTTGGATACTGGAGTTAGGAGGCTGTCCCGGTGGTTGGATACTTGGATACTGGAGTTAGGAGGCTGACACGGTGGTTGGATACTGGAGTTAGGAGTCTGACGCGGTGGTTGGATACTGGAGTTAGGAGGCTGACACGGTGGTTGGATACTTGGATAATGGAGTTAGGAGGCTGACACGGTGATTGGATACTGGAGTTAGGAGGCTGACATGGTGGTTGGATACTGGAGTTGGGAGGCTGACACGGTGGTTGGATCCTGGAGTTAGGAGGCTGACACGGTGGTTGGATACTTGGATACTGGAGTTAGGAGGCTGACACGGTGGTTGGATACTTGGATACTGGAGTTAGGAGGCTGACACGGTGATTGGATACTGGAGATAGGAGGCTGACATGGTGGTTGGATACTGGAGTTGGGAGGCTGACACGGTGGTTGGATCCTGGAGTTAGGAGGCTAACACCGTGATTGGACCCCTGAGTTAGGAAGCTGACACAGTGGTTGGATACTGGAGTTTGGAGGCTGACACGGTGGTTGGATACTGGAATTAGGAGGCTGAGACGGTGGTTGGATACTGGAGTTAGGAGCTGACACGGTGGTTGGATACTTGGATACTGGAGTTAGGAGGCTGACATGGTGGTTGGATACTGGAGTTAAGAGGCTGACATGGTGGTTGGATACTGGAGTTAGGAGGCTGTCCCGGTGGTTGGATACTTGGATACTGGAGTTAGGAGGCTGACACGGTGGTTGGATACTGGAGTTAGGAGTCTGACACGGTGGTTGGATACTGGAGTTAGGAGGCTGACACGGTGGTTGGATACTTGGATACTCGAGTTAGGAGTCTGAAACGGTGGTTGGATACTGGAGTTAGGAGTCTGACACGGTGGTTGGATACTGGAGTTAGGAGGCTGTCCCGGTGGTTGGATACTTGGATACTGGAGTTAGGAGGCTGACACTGTGGTTGGATACTGGAGTTAGGAGTCTGACACGGTGGTTGGATACTGGAGTTAGGAGGCTGACACGGTGGTTGGATACTGGAGTTAGGAGGCTGACACGGTGGTTGGATACTGGAGTTAGGAGGCTGACACGGTGGTTGCATTCTTGAGTTAGGAGTCTGACACGGTGGTTGGATACTGGAGTTAGGAGGCTGACACGGTGGTTGGATACTGGAGTTAGGAGGCTGACACGGTGGTTGGATACAGGAGTTAGGAGGCTGAGACGGTGGTTGGAGACTGGAGTTAGGAGGCTGACACGGTGGTTGGATACTGGAGTTAGGAGGCTGACACGGTGGTTGCATACTTGAGTTAGGAGGCTGACACGGTGGTTGAATACAGGAGTTAGGAGGCTGACACGGTGGTTGGATACAGGAGTTAGGAGGCTGACACGGTGATTGGATACAGGAGTTAGGAGGCTGAAACGGTGGTTGGATACAGGAGTTAGGAGGCTGAAACGGTGGTTGGATACTTGAGTTAGGAGGCTGACACGGTGGTTGGATACAGGAGTTAGGAGGCTGAAACGGTGGTTGGATACTTGAGTTAGGAGGCTGACACGGTGGTTGGATACAGGAGTTAGGAGGCTGAAACGGTGGTTGGATACTTGAGTTAGGAGGCTGACACGGTGGTTGGATACAGGAGTTAGGAGGCTGACACGGTGGTTGGATACAGGAGTTAGGAGGCTGAAACGGTGGTTGGATACTTGAGTTAGGAGGCTGACACGGTGCTTGGATACAGGAGTTAGGAGGCTGACACAGTGGTTGGATACTTGGTACTGGAGTTAGGAGGCTGACATGGTGGTTGGATACTGGAGTTAAGAGGCTGACATGGTGGTTGGATACTGGAGTTAGGAGGCTGACACGGTGGTTGGAGACTTGGATACTGGAGTTAGGAGTCTGACACGGTGGTTGGATACTGGAGTTAGGAGTCTGACACGGTGGTTGGATACTGGAGTTAGGAGGCTGTCCCGGTGGTTGGATACTTGGATACTGGAGTTAGGAGGCTGACACTGTGGTTGGATACTGGAGTTAGGAGTCTGACACGGTGGTTGGATACTGGAGTTAGGAGGCTGACACGGTGGTTGGATACTGGAGTTAGGAGGCTGAGACGGTGGTTGGATACTGGAGTTAGGAGGCTGACATGGTGGTTGGATACTGGAGTTAGGAGGCTGACACGGTGGTTGGATACTTGGATACTGGAGTTAGGAGGCTGACATGGTGGTTGGATACTGGAGTTAGGAGGCTGACACGGTGGTTGCATACTTGGATACTGGAGTTAGGAGGCTGACATGCTGGTTGGATACTGGAGTTAGGAGGCTGACACGGTGGTTGCATACTTCAGTTAGGAGGCTGACACGGTGGTTGGATACTTGGATACTGGAGTTAGGAGGCTGACACGGTGGTTGGATACAGGAGTTAGGAGGCGGAGATGGTGGTTGGATACTGGAGTTAGGAGGCTGACACGGTGGTTGGATACTGGAGTTAGGAGGCTGACACGGTGGTTGGATACTGGAGTTAGGAGGCTGACACGGTGGTTGGATACTTGGATACTGGAGTTAGGATGCTGACACGGTGGTTGGATACGTGAGTTAGGAGGCTGAGATGGTGGTTGGATACTGGAGTTAGGAGGCTGACACAGTGGTTGGATACTGGAGTTAGGAGGGTGACATGGTGGTTGGATTCTGGAGTTAGGAGGCTGACACGGTGGTTGGATACTTGGATACTGGAGTTAGGATGCTGACACGGTGGTTGGATACTGGAGTTAGGAGGCTGACACGGTGGTTGCATACTTGAGTTAGGAGGCTGACACGGTGGTTGAATACAGGAGTTAGGAGGCTGACACGGTGGTTGGATACAGGAGTTAGGAGGCTGACACGGTGATTGGATACAGGAGTTAGGAGGCTGAAACGGTGGTTGGATACAGGAGTTAGGAGGCTGAAACGGTGGTTGGATACTTGAGTTAGGAGGCTGACACGGTGGTTGGATACAGGAGTTAGGAGGCTGAAACGGTGGTTGGATACTTGAGTTAGGAGGCTGACACGGTGGTTGGATACAGGAGTTAGGAGGCTGAAACGGTGGTTGGATACTTGAGTTAGGAGGCTGACACGGTGGTTGGATACAGGAGTTAGGAGGCTGACACGGTGGTTGGATACAGGAGTTAGGAGGCTGAAACGGTGGTTGGATACTTGAGTTAGGAGGCTGACACGGTGCTTGGATACAGGAGTTAGGAGGCTGACACAGTGGTTGGATACTTGGTACTGGAGTTAGGAGGCTGACATGGTGGTTGGATACTGGAGTTAAGAGGCTGACATGGTGGTTGGATACTGGAGTTAGGAGGCTGTCCCGGTGGTTGGATACTTGGATACTGGAGTTAGGAGGCTGACACGGTGGTTGGATACTGGAGTTAGGAGTCTGACACGGTGGTTGGATACTGGAGTTAGGAGGCTGACACGGTGGTTGGAGACTTGGATACTGGAGTTAGGAGTCTGACACGGTGGTTGGATACTGGAGTTAGGAGTCTGACACGGTGGTTGGATACTGGAGTTAGGAGGCTGTCCCGGTGGTTGGATACTTGGATACTGGAGTTAGGAGGCTGACACTGTGGTTGGATACTGGAGTTAGGAGTCTGACACGGTGGTTGGATACTGGAGTTAGGAGGCTGACACGGTGGTTGGATACTGGAGTTAGGAGGCTGAGACGGTGGTTGGACACTGGAGTTAGGAGGCTGACATGGTGGTTGGATACTGGAGTTAGGAGGCTGACACGGTGGTTGGATACTGGAGTTAGGAGGCTGAAACGGTGGTTGGATACTTGAGTTAGGAGGCTGACACGGTGCTTGGATACAGGAGTTAGGAGGCTGACACAGTGGTTGGATACTTGGTACTGGAGTTAGGAGGCTGACATGGTGGTTGGATACTGGAGTTAAGAGGCTGACATGGTGGTTGGATACTGGAGTTAGGAGGCTGTCCCGGTGGTTGGATACTTGGATACTGGAGTTAGGAGGCTGACACGGTGGTTGGATACTGGAGTTAGGAGTCTGACACGGTGGTTGGATACTGGAGTTAGGAGGCTGTCCCGGTGGTTGGATACTTGGATACTGGAGTTAGGAGGCTGACACTGTGGTTGGATACTGGAGTTAGGAGTCTGACACGGTGGTTGGATACTGGAGTTAGGAGGCTGACACGGTGGTTGGATACTGGAGTTAGGAGGCTGAGACGGTGGTTGGATACTGGAGTTAGGAGGCTGACATGGTGGTTGGATACTGGAGTTAGGAGGCTGACACGGTGGTTGGATACTGGAGTTAGGAGGCTGACATGGTGGTTGGATACTGGAGTTAGGAGGCTGACATGGTGGTTGGGTACTGGAGTTAGGAGGCTGACACAGTGGTTGCATACTTGGATACTGGAGTTAGGAGGCTGACATGCTGGTTGGATACTGGAGTTAGGAGGCTGACACGGTGGTTGCATACTTCAGTTAGGAGGCTGACACGGTGGTTGGATACTTGGATACTGGAGTTAGGAGGCTGACACGGTGGTTGGATACAGGAGTTAGGAGGCTGAGATGGTGGTTGGATACTGGAGTTAGGAGGCTGACACGGTGGTTGGATACTGGAGTTAGGAGGCTGACACGGTGGTTGGATACTGGAGTTAGGAGGCTGACACGGTGGTTGGATACTTGGATACTGGAGTTAGGATGCTGACACGGTGGTTGGATACGTGAGTTAGGAGGCTGAGATGGTGGTTGGATACTGGAGTTAGGAGGCTGACACAGTGGTTGGATACTGGAGTTAGGAGGCTGACATGGTGGTTGGATTCTGGAGTTAGGAGGCTGACACGGTGGTTGGATACTTGGATACTGGAGTTAGGATGCTGACACGGTGGTTGGATACTGGAGTTAGGAGGCTGACACGGTGGTTGGATACTTGGATACTGGAGTTAGGATGCTGACACGGTGGTTGGATACTGGAGTTTGGAGGCTGACACGGTGGTTGGATACTTGAGTTAGGAGGCTGACACGGTGTTTGGATACTTGAGTTAGGAGGCTGACACGGTGGTTGCATACTTCAGTTAGGAGGCTGACACGGTGGTTGGATACAGGAGTTAGGAGGCTGACACGGTGGTTGCATACTTCAGTTAGGAGGCTGACACGGTGGTTGGATACAGGAGTTAGGAGGCTGACACGGTGGTTGGATACAGGAGTTAGGAGGCTGACATGGTGGTTGGATAATTGAGTTAGGAGGCTGACACGGTGGTTGGATACAGGAGTTAGGAGGCTAAGATGGTGGTTGGATACTGGAGTTAGGAGGCTGAGACGGTGGTTGGATACTTGGATACTGGAGTTAGGAGGCTGACACGGTGGTTGGATAATTGAGTTAGGAGGCTGACACGGTGGTTGGATACAGGAGTTAGGAGGCTAAGATGGTGGTTGGATACTGGAGTTAGGAGGCTGAGACGGTGGTTGGATACTTGGATACTTGAGTTAGGAGGCTGACACGGTGGTTGGATACAGGAGTTAGGAGGCTGACACGGTGGTTGGATACAGGAGTTAGGAGGCTGACATGGTGGTTGGATACTGGAGTTAGGAGGCTGACACGGTGGTTGGATACTGGAGTTAGGAGGCTGACATGGTGGTTGGATACTGGAGTTAGGAGGCTGACATGGTGGTTGGGTACTGGAGTTAGGAGGCTGACACGGTGGTTGCATACTTGGATACTGGAGTTAGGAGGCTGACATGCTGGTTGGATACTGGAGTTAGGAGGCTGACACGGTGGTTGCATACTTCAGTTAGGAGGCTGACACAGTGGTTGGATACTTGGATACTGGAGTTAGGAGGCTGACACGGTGGTTGGATACAGGAGTTAGGAGGCTGAGATGGTGGTTGGATACTGGAGTTAGGAGGCTGACACGGTGGTTGGATACTGGAGTTAGGAGGCTGACACGGTGGTTGGATACTGGAGTTAGGAGGCTGACACGGTGGTTGGATACTTGGATACTGGAGTTAGGATGCTGACACGGTGGTTGGATACGTGAGTTAGGAGGCTGAGATGGTGGTTGGATACTGGAGTTAGGAGGCTGACACAGTGGTTGGATACTGGAGTTAGGAGGCTGACATGGTGGTTGGATTCTGGAGTTAGGAGGCTGACACGGTGGTTGGATACTTGGATACTGGAGTTAGGATGCTGACACGGTGGTTGGATACTGGAGTTAGGAGGCTGACACGGTGGTTGGATACTTGGATACTGGAGTTAGGATGCTGACACGGTGGTTGGATACTGGAGTTTGGAGGCTGACACGGTGGTTGGATACTTGAGTTAGGAGGCTGACACGGTGTTTGGATACTTGAGTTAGGAGGCTGACACGGTGGTTGCATACTTCAGTTAGGAGGCTGACACGGTGGTTGGATACAGGAGTTAGGAGGCTGACACGGTGGTTGCATACTTCAGTTAGGAGGCTGACACGGTGGTTGGATACAGGAGTTAGGAGGCTGACACGGTGGTTGGATACAGGAGTTAGGAGGCTGACATGGTGGTTGGATAATTGAGTTAGGAGGCTGACACGGTGGTTGGATACAGGAGTTAGGAGGCTAAGATGGTGGTTGGATACTGGAGTTAGGAGGCTGAGACGGTGGTTGGATACTTGGATACTGGAGTTAGGAGGCTGACACGGTGGTTGGATAATTGAGTTAGGAGGCTGACACGGTGGTTGGATACAGGAGTTAGGAGGCTAAGATGGTGGTTGGATACTGGAGTTAGGAGGCTGAGACGGTGGTTGGATACTTGGATACTTGAGTTAGGAGGCTGACACGGTGGTTGGATACAGGAGTTAGGAGGCTGACACGGTGGTTGGATACAGGAGTTAGGAGGCTGACACGGTGGTTGGATACTGGAGTTAGGAGGCTGACATGGTGGTTGGTTACTGGAGTTAGGAGGCTGACACGGTGGTTGGATACTTGGATACTGGAGTTAGGAGGCTGACATGGTGGTTGGATACTGGAGTTAGGAGGCTGACACGGTGGTTGCATACTTGGATACTGGAGTTAGGAGGCTGACATGCTGGTTGGATACTGGAGTTAGGAGGCTGACACGGTGGTTGCATACTTCAGTTAGGAGGCTGACACGGTGGTTGGATACTTGGATACTGGAGTTAGGAGGCTGACACGGTGGTTGGATACAGGAGTTAGGAGGCTGAGATGGTGGTTGGATACTGGAGTTAGGAGGCTGACACGGTGGTTGGATACTGGAGTTAGGAGGCTGACACGGTGGTTGGATACTGGAGTTAGGAGGCTGACACGTTGGTTGGATACTTGGATACTGGTGTTAGGATGCTGACACGGTGGTTGGATACGGGAGTTAGGAGGCTGAGATGGTGGTTGGATACTAGAGTTAGGAGGCTGACACAGTGGTTGGATACTGGAGTTAGGAGGCTGACATGGTGGTTGGATTCTGGAGTTAGGAGGCTGACACGGTGGTTGGATACTTGGATACTGGAGTTAGGATGCTGACACGGTGGTTGGATACGGGAGTTAGGAGTGTGACATGGTGGTTGGATACTTGGATACTGGAGTTAGGAGGCTGACATGGTGGTTGGATACTGGAGTTAGGAGTCTGACACGGCGGTTGGATACTGGAGTTTGGAGGCTGACACAGTGCTTGGGTAATTGATCACACCATGTGTGTGACCTCTGGGTCATGCCAGTTCAGAGGGGTCCTTCTCCTTTTACCCCCAGCTTCTCTTCCCCTCTCAGCCAGTCTGCCAGTTTAAGGAGACAAGACACTCTCTGACAATAATCTCTTCATCATTTACTAATTACTAATTAATAAGAAGTTTGACCAATCACACAGTGCTATGAATTAATTGGAAGTCTATAATTCAATCAATTGACATTGAGACATTTGACAAACGAATCAAGTGACCTGGTGATTGTTCCTAGAGTTCTATATAACAGATGGGAAACCAGCGGTGACCAGAGTCATTTTATTTGAGGTAGCGTATAAAGTTATGAGGTAACGTATAAAGTTATGAGGTAACGTATAAAGTTATGAGGTAACATATATAATTATTAGTTAACATATAGAGTTATGAGGTAACGTATAGAGTTATGAGGTAACGTATAGTGGGTGCTCCCTTCACCAAATGTCTGGATTATTTTAAATCAAATCTAAAGTCAGGAATATTTCAAGTCAAATCTTAGCAGAAATGTCGATGGCAGGTAATTTCCGAATACGGTGGTATTTCAGAAACTAACTGTCCCATTGGCCCTGACCTTGCCCACTCCCATAAAGAGAAAGCTGCCCTTTTGCTTTTCTGCTGAGGTTTCAGGAAACAGAGTATATACCTCCCAAACCTGTTTCCCGTCTCTGTCCTGCCTGAAGCTCTCATCCCCAAACACTTTACTTCTCACGTTCACTGGGCTTCGAGGTGAGATGGGTTTCTTTCCCCTCTGCTTCGTTCTGTATATTCATTTCTTTATTCATCTTTTGGACCAGATTGTGTGTGGTGTGTGAGCTTTGATAGTTTTGAATGCTTTTAGAATAGAATGCAAGATTAAAAAAAAAAAAGATTCTAGAGAAAACTTTGGTTGTGGAATTCCGATATTCCGAGGTGTTTGTCTGTGTGTTTTAGCAGGTGTTGTAAGCGATAACATCCAAGATATAAGGCCTGGTTTTCAGCTGTTGTTGTTTTTTCAGTGTAGTTCAGAGTGGATGTGTTGTCACAGGCTCTTGTGGACCTTGTGGTTGTGTTTGACCAGTTGCTAGTTTATAAAGCTGTGGAAAAAAGAACTGAAGTTTGTTCAGAAATATTAGCTTTGGCCACGGTGGATGTGGAAAGTTGCTGTAAGTCTTATAATGGCAAACTTGAATTGATGTTGTAGTTTCACAGTTTACTTCAAATGGGGTTATGGATTGTTTCATGTTATTCCAATAGATTGTTGAGATTCAATTATATACAACGGAAAATCCAATTGGATATTTTCATAACTTTTGCACATACATTTTGTGAATGTCAGCTGTATTTTCTGAAATGACCTCTTTGGTGCGCTGGTGCTGATTGTAATGTAGTAGATGTCGTAATGATGGATTCCTGCATGACCAAAGATTTCAGGAAATTCATCCAGTTGATTTGCTATCAACCTTGGGAATTATTATATCCTACAGATCCAAAGACATTGATTAAAGAGGAAACAATGCCTCCCTCTTTCACCAGCAGGAATTATGGTATTGATGTTGGACTGCTGTGTTAGATTTGGGTAAACTGATCCAAGCAAATTATTGATCAAATTATTGACAACGCATTGTCTAATGTTTGTTGCATTTCTTGTGGATATGCAATTGCACATGACTTGCATTGGGTCAACCCTGAAATCTTTGGTTTGAATAAACTGTTTACTGTTCATCTCTTGACACAGGAAGTAAAACAAACCACCGGCCAAAATGTCTGCGTAAGTTTACATTTTTCATTTTAGAGCAAAATATTCTACACTACACTGTTTTCATCTAATGTATTCTGTCTGTGAACATGTTTTCATCTGATGTATTCTGTCTGTGAACATGTTTTCATCTGATGTATTCTGTCTGTGAACATGTTTTCCACATAGAAAACCAGGCAGTAAAACTGATCAATACTCTGCTATGGTGATTCCCAGTAGTGTTGTAATTTCTCCCCAGAATGAAGTCCTACCATAATGTAATAAAATGAAGTCCTAGTACGGTAATGTCTCATCATCACGTACCTGTCTCTGTTGGCTACACCTTGTGTATTTCCCTTCAATGACCCTGTCTCATCATCACGTACCTGTCTCTGTTGGCTACACCTTGTGTATTTCCCTTCAATGACCCTCTCTGTTCTATCCAAATCAGTAAAAAGATGTCATCGAGCCGTAGGAACTATCTGAAGGTAAGGAGCACCATTCATTCCAAAAAGGTTTTATAAACAGTTAATGCATCTTTAATTTTCAAGTAAAGGGTCATTTACCAGGCTTAGATTGAACCTTAGAAAAACCTGCATGACTTCACAGACTGATTTTAATGCTGACTTTACATTGCATGGATACAGTAATATTCATGGGCCAAGGGGTAAAACGTTTGGAAGTTGGAAGAGAGTAGATATTCACACACTGAGTGTGAGATGTTATGTGATCCAGACAGTGTTAGCCCCCCCCCCTTCCCAGGTTGATGAATAGAGTTGAGGAGTATTCTGGGATACCAACCCTAAAAGTTCTACATCATTAATTCATAACACTTCACTTGAAGGTCTGTAGATCTAGAGACCTTCAAGTAAAGTCTTATCAATGAATGATTGATATTTACAACCCCATAGACAAGCAGAAGTGACCGCAGCACTGTGATGTGATGTGATTTGTCCCCCGTGCAGAGCTTGATGCTCCAGATCGCTGCAGGCATGCTGGAGGTAGAGGCGGTCATGGCTGAGGCAGAGAAGGCCAAGTACATGGAGGAAAACTGCCCTGCCCCAGAATTCTTGGTATGCATGGCAGAGCTCAACGGTAAC